CTGCTTCTGCCTAATCTTTGCCTTGGACTTTTCCTCGGTCGACACGAGCGACGCTGTCCGAGCATTGGCTGCCTCCTCTTCTTCTAGGCGCACAAAGCCGTCGGCTCTTTCATCGAGTTCATCCATAGTCGTCGGCGTATTCACTACCAGACTGGTATGGAACGGAGTGCCACGTGTCATGGCTAACTTGAAGGCTTGAACCACTGTAGAAGGGTGGCATTTGATCACCATACTCTTAGTGAGATTAAACCTGGTGAGAAAAGCCTGGAGACGTTCATCTTTGTGCTGTCTCATTGTGAATAGGTCTCGGAAGCTACCAATGGAACTCCTAGGCAAGTTCTTGAACCAGCTGAGCGCCGGTCCAGCTAGGCTTGTAGGGAAACATTTGCACATTAAAGCATCGTTTTCCGTATTCAGGGCCATCTTCAACTGGATATGGTATACATGATCGATCGGATCGGTTGTTCCATCAAACAGAATAAATACTGGCATAGCAAACTTCCTTGGATGCGGGGCATTCAGGATCTCGTCAGTGAATGGTGAATCAACCGTTCGAGCCGCGGATCGGAGTGCTTCATTCTCTCTTTGGCGCCCAGTGGTAGCTCTGTGAGCTACGGTTCTGCTCTCCGAACCGCGATGAGTGATTGTAGCCATGGAGGGCCGGTAGGACAGATCGAACGACCGTTCCTCTATGAGTTCTCTTTGCCTAGGCGACGCAACTTGGCGGCGATCAACCTCTATCACCTCCTCTCGGTTGAACCTTTCCCGATGCGGATCGAAGGTCATGGCTTCGTTCTGTCTGATCTGCTCATGTCGCGGATCGACGTGAGTCGATCCTTCGTGATCCTCAACTCAACGAACATTTGGCGGCAAATCATCCATCCTTCTTTCATCACGGTGGAGAGCAGACTGACTGTTCTCGTCCTGCTCGCCTTGATGCGCGATATTAGATTGAACACCTCCTTCTCCGGCCGGAGGTGGACGCGAAACCGCGGGCATTTGCTGATGTTGCATTCTAGCTTTCAATTCTGCATTCTCTTTTTTGAGAGCCTCGATCAAGTTCATCAACTCCTCAAGCTTTGTTTGCTGGACAGCCTCCATCGGATTGGAGCTTTCACCTATCATTATTCCTGAACGGAGTAAAGGCATTAATCTCAAGTTCGCGAGTAAATCCGAGCTTCGTGAGTGGGAATTTTTCAGATCTGGTTTCGAATTCTCCGAATTATGCTCACGGTTGACGAGATCTGAATTGTCCGAATTCTAAATCCGTCAGATCCTGCCACAATCGAACAACTCGTTGTTGCGTAGATCTGAAGCCACTTCTGCCAAAGCTACAGGAACTAAAATTCCTCCAGAGTAGGTCACAATCGCTCAGATCTGGATTCAACTCCCAAAGATCGAGTCTCGATCACCCGAATTGGTCTGAATCCACGCGATATTAATCTTTGATCAACCAATCTTCCATGCTTCCCACAGACGGCGCCAATTGAAGATACAAGAAATTCCTTCCCTCTTTCTCTCTCTAGAATTCTTGTATTTCAACCAAAAAAATATCTCCCCTTTTCTTTCCATTACTTCTCTTATTTATAGATATTTACAAATGTTGATGGACTGCTGGATCTAGGCCCGTTCCTTCATAAGTCCTGGTCATCTTTGATGGGCTTATTCGCGTTCGGCTCATATGGCAGTGTCTTTCTATGGGCCTGACCCATCTGTACGGACCGAATGTCGCGTTTGCAAGTCATATCTGGCCCATGTCATCTCGGGCCTCCTCAACTATAAATGCAAATACAACGGTATGAGTAACAGTACTGCTTGTAAGAAAATTAAATATTACTGCCTTTATTACATTATATATAACCTGATCAAGCATACAACTTTCTTATTACATAGTTATAAAACAAAGAAATATGTTGTTTTAGCAGCAATAGTTATGAGCAGAAAAGGTTTAGACCTTCTTAAAGATGACTTTGAGTGGTTGTTCGCTCAAAGCCAAACATCTTGTTCCATTGTCAACAAAAATGCCAAGGTCTCCACAAAGAACTTTGCAACCTTCATTGACACCACACACAGATGGACAAAAGACAAGCTTGTAGTCATCATCAAATTTCTCAATCCTGAACCAGTTGCTCAGTGTTTCGCGACCAGGGTTTCCTTCAACACCATCGGTTGTCACGAAATATTGTCCCACCGACTTGTCAAAAGCACCCAGCTGCCACACGGTTGATTGGACACAGATTGTGGCAGCTGAGAACTTGATGTTCTGATCAGTTATGAGGTTAACCACCTCCTCAATTGGGTTCACCGACGTAAATGTCAAAGGGAGACCATTGCTATCGTTGTTTTGTTCTTTTGGACAACATCAAGGGGGCTGTTGCTGCCATTCCTCTTGGGGCCTAGGGTGAGTCCACCTCCGCTGCCACTGACAGCCGGCAATACGTAATAGTCGACGCCTGTCTGGAGCGGCTCACCGGAGCTGTCAAGCACGGCCTCTTGCGCAGCAGCAAGCAATGGATTTGTTGAGAAAGCAAGAAGAAGGAAAGAAAACAATAGCATTGTAGTCTTCATGATTGTAGCTAGTATTTGTGTTTGATTTGTTTGTATGAATGAATGTTGAACAAGAGATTGTATTTATGGAGCTACGTACATAAGCAGGTGGGCTTGAATAGTATTGAGGCTAAATGACGTTGGAGAGGTGGGCTGCCTAAATCAAGGGTTCACACCGTTTGAAATGTGGGCTGGCCTTAATCAAATAGTTGACGGAGGAGAAAAACTTGAATGTTTTTTTTTTATTTGATGATACGGTTTCACGAAGTAATTAAATACTGACGTGGTAAAATTCAATGAAATAATTATATTATCATAAATATGCTTGGATAGGATAACATATCAATTATCTAGAACAATTGTCCATTTTTATAATAGTTGTATTCCTTACACGACTTATTGGCATAAGGAGTTCGGTGACTGACTTAATATTTGACATTATTTTATAAAAAAGTAATAATTTAAAACATTAGGATGAATAGTTACAGAAATAGAACTTAGATTTTTGATTTACTTCGGTATACAACTGAGTGATCTCAGAATCAAATCTATGTCTTAATCTTGTAAGCCCGTGTTATTACCATTACATTGACCCCGATTAATTCAAGTTTAAATGTATAATTAACCTTTATCTCTTTTGGACCAGCCAAAACCAACCCATCCAAATCCCCACAAGTTAATTTCAATATGTAGGGTTAAAAAAAGGTAAAGATAAACTCTGCTTTGAAAAAAAAAAAGAGTCAAAAACTCTTATCATTTTCATTAAAAGAAAAGGTCAAAAACTCTGTCTACAATTGAATTTGGATATTTACTGTTAGGTCAGATGGCATGCCCTTTACCCAAAAACAAAAGTCACATGGGCTGCCTCGATTTTTGTCTCATGTACGTACTACTTATGGTAGATCGTCATAGTACAAAGCTGATAGAGTATAATTCTTCGTGTTTATCACTTAATGATAATAAAGTCAAAATCCTCCGCAGACATCAATAAATTCCCATTTGAATTCAAATAGTAGTATATATATATATATATATATATATATATAATATACACATGCATAATCGTCAAACAATTGTTTGACCATAGCACAAGGCTCGAACCACTTTCACGTTATATTTGTCATCCTTTAATTCTTCCTACCAGAATGATGTCATGAAAATTGACGAATTCACATGAACTTGCACCTCAGTATTAGATTTGATTGAGATTTACAGCTCAATCCATTTTGCTAAAATCTGCCTTCAACTCAATTGCAATAAAGCACAAGGTTTCTTATTTAATTGTCAATGAAATACAGAAGTATTCTATATCGGATGAAAATGAATAAAAGATTTTTCAAACAAGCGGGTATTTTTTTTTTTTTTCAAGGCAAACTCTCCGTCCATTGAAATCAAGTTGAATTTGCATATATAAGATAACTTAAGTAATAAAAAATACTAAATGTCACAAATTATTGTATCACAAAAATAATTTGAATTTGAATTACATGACAGATGGTAGTATGATAACTTTGTGACGGATGATATGTCAACTTAAATTAATTATGTATATTTTCAAAGAGATTTTGTCGAGAGAATACATGATAGGATGAGAGAAAAAAATAAGAAATATTGTTTATGATAAAATCTAAACCGAAAATGAACCAAAAATAACTCTTTAGAGACGTTTAGGGTTAATTCTTTCTCTTCAATAAGAACCCTAATTTTCTCAACTAATTTTTTTGTGTAAATAATTAGATAAATACATAATTCGCTTAAAACTTTTAAAAATTATATTTTGAGTCCTCTTTCTCTTGGATAAGAACCGTAATTTTCTAAACCATCTACATATGTAAATAATTTGATAAATAGATAATCAATTTCATGTTTATCATAAGTATAAAGTCAAGAGTGCAAAAAATTATATATATATATATATATATATATATATATATATATATATATATAATCGGAATCATCCGCTCATCTTTGAATTTGTTTGCTTTTTTAATTTAACTATAATTTAATATGTTAATATTTCAACAAGAAGAAAAAGAAAGTGTAATATTTATTAAAATTGAGGAGATATTTATCTTTTTATTAGCATCACATCATATTCAAGGTACACATCTCAAATTTTATTCGAGCATTGTTGCATTGCTCGTAAGTAATTACTTGAACTATAACATAGAATTTGTTTTATATATATATAGGACATTTTGTTGAAGAATTTTGTGGTTTTCAACAATTAAAAATTAGAAAGAAAAAATTTATTAAGAAATCGAACCAACCTGAACCAAAACTATTTATTTTAATATAGTAGTATTTTTTTTTTTGGATTTTCCAAAAGAAATAAAATACATAAGATTCAATTAATATTGCTTCATTGACATTATAAAATCCAAATACAATGATATAAGTTACATTGTCTGTAAGAATATTAAAGATTACTATCATGCTTCATTATTGCCTTTATTCTCCTAGTTATATAATTCAAAGAAATACATTTGCAGCAACTGCATGTTATGAGCATAAAAGGTTTAGGCCTTGTTAAAAACCACTTTGAGTGGTTGCTCGCTCAAAGCCAAACGTCTTGTTCCATCATTGTCAACAAAAATGCCAAGATCTCCACAAAGAACTTTGCAACCTTCATTGACACCACACACATGTGCACAAAACATCATCTTGTAGTCATCATCATATTTCTCAATCCTGAACCAGTTGCTCAATGTTGCACGACCCGGGTTTCCTTCAACACCGCCGGTTGTCACGAATCGTCCCTCCAACACATCAGAAGGAGCGAGCTTCCACACTGTTGATTGGACACAGATTGTTGCAGCAGAGAACTTGACGTTTTGATCAGTTAGCAGACGAACCACGCCCTCATTCGGGTTCACCGACGAGAACATCAAAGGGAGACCATTGCTACCGTTGCTTTGTTCTTGGACAACATCAAGTGGGCAGTTACTGCCATTACTATTGCGGCCTAGGGTGAGTCCACCTCCGCTGCCACTGACGGCCTGTAATATGTAATAGTCGACGCCTGTCTGCAGCTTCTCACCGGAGCTGTCAAAGCACGGCGTCTTGTGCAGCACCAAGCAATGGATTTGTTGACAAAGCAAAAAGAAGGAAAGAAAGCAATAACATTGTTCTCTTCATGATTGTAGTTAGCTAGTATAAATATTTGTGTTTGATTTGTATGAATGTTTTAAGGAGAGCTTGTATTTATAGGGCTACACATGCCCGCGGGTTTGAATTGAACGAGGCTAAATCATGTTGGAGATGTGGGCAGCTAGCCCTAAACACTGCTTGGCAAAGACCCATTCTGGATACTGGATATGCTTGGAATTGGATACTCATATCAAGAACAATTTGTCCATCTTCATAATGCGCGTCAGCCCAACCCGATGTATTTTTTTGAGAATTTATAACATGAAGGGATAAAATATAAAAATATGAGTATAGTAACCTTTATATCAAGAAAAGAATAAAAGATAAAGTAAAGTATTTTCGAATAAAAGTCAAACTTACTTACCAAAAAAAAAAGTCAAAAGCTCTCATCTTTTCCACAATTACTTCCCTTAATTTACGCATGAAGAGTACACTTGAATTGAACATGAACTGCTAACATGTTGAAGAATAAGGTCAGATGGCCGCCGGCGAGCCCTTTACCAAAAAAAAAAAATTTCAGATAGCTGCCACTATTTTTGACCTAAATATTATACGTACCCTTTTGAACAGATCAGATTCATGGATAATTGGATAAATCGTGCATGCCATCAAATAAAGCTAAGACAAATCAGAACATAAAGGATGGGTATGTCATAATCTTAGCATATGTGAGTCAGGTGCTTGACATGTTACATTAAAGTTAAAATTGATCAGCTCTTTCTGCAATTTTCAACATTACAACCCCATTTCCAGTTTCTGGAGTAGTATTTTAGTTTTTTTATTCCCAGAAGAGATGATTCTTACTCTCATAATCATTGTATTTAAATACAGAAAAGTGATAATTTGGATTTTTTTTTATTATTATTATTTTTTTGAAGTGTTTTGAGAAACAAAATTTAAAGTAACGAAATTAAGAGACCAGACAGTAATTCTTTAATAGAAGTATGTTTCAAGAATATCTATAATACTTTTAATAGAAAGATACTTCTTGAGTTTCATTTTATTATTATTGTTTTTTGTTTTTAATATTTTTTTTATTATTTTGTGACGGAACCGTTTATCTTTTGTACGTGTTGGATTTTGTTCATTGGAAAAAGTAGGCAAAGTCACTAATTGGCGAATTTGTATGAGGAAAACAGCAACTAAAACATTTTTTTTACACTTTATCTATTAATCATATATATATATATTTTTATCAAGAGTAATTGGTTCTATACTATTTAACATTTGTGTAAAGAATTATGGAGTGCTAGAGAAGTATAGAGTGGTGAAAAATTCAATAACGAGAGCTTGTAAGAATTTATAGATTAGATCAAGAATGTTCTGAAAGTCTAGAAAGTTATTATATAAAGTTGTAGATATATTTAGGTGGATAAAGCTTAAATAGGTGAGATCCTATTTGCATGGATGAGAATGAATGGATATAGTCGAGAAGAGTTTAGTGAGTGATAAGTGTATCATATTATGAAAAAATAAATTTACCAAGCGTTGCAGTAACTATTAATTCTTATATATGAAAAATAAATTTAGTTGAAGATTTATGTGGTTGTAACTATTGTGCAATCTGTTAAAGACAGTTTAAATGGAATTTGTTGGCGTTCATCAAACCTCCATCGGAGACACCAGATCGCACATATTAGGGTTTCGCACCGATTGTGAATATGCCTTAAGACAAGAATAGTCTAAAGATGGTTACTAGTATTGCCTCTGTATTTCATACTGGAACATTTACTGGATTTGTTACTTGTGGGTCGGTCACTCTGCACAACTTTATTATATAAAAAAAGAAGAAGAACAAACCTAGTTAATTTTAATATATATAGTAGTAAAGAAAGGTTTAGTAAAAGAAAGAAAATAAATAAAATCTAAATAGTGGGCGCTTCATTAACATTATAAATGCAAATACAATGGTATAAGTTACATTGAATGTAAGAATATTAAATATTATTGCCTTTATTGCAATAAATATGACCTGAAAGCACAAGCTTTCTTATTACATAGTTATAATACAAAGATATATCTCTGTTTTAATAATTAACAGTAAAGCAGAAAGTGTTTAGGCCTTCTTAAAGATCACTTTGAGGGGTTGTTCGTTCACAGCCAAACGTCTTGTTCCATTGTCAACAAAAATGCCAAGTTCACCACAAAGAACTCTGCAACCCTCGTTGACACCGCACACAGAAGGACAAAAGACAAGCTTGTAGTCTTCATCATACTTCTCAATCCTGAACCAGTTGCTCAATGTTGCACGACCCGGGTTTCCTACAACACCGCCGGTTGTCACGAAAGATCGTCCCGCAGACTCGTCAAAAGCACCCAGCTGCCACACGGTTGATTGGACACAGATTGTGGCAGCTGAGAACTTGATGTTCTGATCAGTTATGAGGTTAACCACCTCCTCATTCGGGTTCACCGAAGTAAATGTCAAAGGGAGACCATTGCTATCGTTGTTTTGTTCTTGGACAACATCAAGTGGGCAGTTGCTGCCATTCCTATTGGGGCCTAGGGTGAGTCCACCTCCGCTGCCACTGACAGCCGGCAATACGTAATAGTCGACGCCTGTCTGGAGCGGCTCACCGGAGCTGTCAAGCACAGCCTCTTGTGCAGCAGCAAGCAATGGATTTGTTGAGAAAGCAAAAAGAAGGAAAGAAAGCAATAACATTATTGTCTTCATGATTGTTGCAATAAGTGTTTGTGTTTGATTTGTATGTATGAATGTTGAACATTAGCTTGTATTTATAGACATACACATGCACACGTGGTTATGAATAGTATGAGGCTAAATGACGTTGGGGTGACTGCCCTAAATCATAGGGTTCACACTGTTTGGCAGAGTACGTACCATTCTGAATAGGCTTGGAATCGGATAACCATGTCAAGAACAGTACGTGTCTTGCCTAACGGACGTGTTGGCAGAAGGAAGGTGGTGACAGCCTTATCAATATTTGACATTTTTTTTTGAGACTCAACAAGAATATGACAGTCCACCCACCTAAATTTTTGACTAAATTTTGTAGAGAAAGAGTACTGTTTTGATACTCAAATGTATGTCCCAAACTTCAGCCCGAGTTACTGTCATTACAATGTGTAATGGAACAGTTTAAATGTGGTTGGTTAACCTTCATATCTTTTGGATCAGCTTAAACTAACCTATCCAAACCCGACAAGTTAGGACATGTTATTATGTTCAGTTTCTGAAGCATGCCTTTAATTTCACAGGGTTTGGGACTTTGGGGAATTTTTTTTTTTGAAAATATAGATAAAGTAAACCTTGTGATGCAGAATAAAAGTAAAAAAAAAAACATATTTGCCCAAAAAAGCTAGCAAAGTCAAAAACTCCCATCATTTCCACAATATCTTCCCCTTACGCATTGGAGGGTACATTTGAATTAGACAATGTGCTGCTGTTAACATATTGAAGAATAAGCTCAGATGACGTGCCCTTTACCCAATACATATATATATATATATATATATATATATATATATATTCAGATGGCTACCCTATATTGTTCACATATGTTATACATAGACTTTTGGATCAGATCAGATTCATGGATAAGCGATGCATGCGATCAAGCAAAACTAAGACAAACCAGAACATAAACAGGTACGTACGTCATAATAATATTTTTTTAAAAAAAATTGTCATAATTATAACATATATGTGATACTATGTTGGGAATGGGTCAGGTGCTTGTCATGTCAGCCTAAGCCCAACTATATCCAAGTCATGTTGGGTAAAGCCAAGCCGGCCCAAGTTATGGGTTCGGCTTTAGTTAGGTAATTAACAGCCTAATATTTGTTAATTTTTTTCTTTTATGTTTGAGTGGAATCAATTTGATTGAATAAATATATTTTGATTGGTAAACATATCAATAATGTAATATGCGGATTCCTCAAAATTTAATGTAGCTATATATATATATATATATATATATATATTTCTTTATCTATCCTATGTTAACTTTTATTATATAATTTTTGGGTGCGAGCATATCAACTTTAATCCACTGGATTCCATCAGAATTCTGCAATTAAGTATGCCTAGTCCTCATGTTGCACTCCTTTAAAAATAAAAATAATAAAAATTTCCTTGGGGGACATTCGCAAAAATGAAACTCACAAATAAAAAATGTTCCAAATTTTTGGACATAATTCTATTAATGAATTTTAGATAAGCAACATGTACCATAAAAAAAAAAAAAATTAAAAAAAAAAAAAAAAAGGAACAAGAAAAAGATTACATAAGCAACCCAACATACATCTCATTTAACTTGAAAATAAATAAATAAACCATAATATGCGAAGTGCCGACTCATCCAATATCTTGTCCCTACCCAACATGGTCATTCTGTTAAATTTCGAAAAAGAAAAAGAATAAAAATAAATAAAACATGGTCATTCTGTTCCTATCCACTGTCACCTTCCACTTAAAGATTTATTAATATATTTATATGTATCTTCTGAACTTTGTATACTTCAATCATTTGCTTCAGATTTCACCATGCCATCATCTATTTAAAGTCCACATTAAAAATTGTGTTACAATTGATTTTGTAATTGTAGACTTTGACCAAATGATTATGTGTCAAAAATTGAACTACATAATTGGAGTTTGCAAAGTTTATGAGAGATACTTGGTTGAAGATGATCCAAATCTGTTTAGTGTGTTTTATTTTTTTTATTTTTTTGCCAATCCGTTTAGTGTGTGCGCGTGAGTAATTTGTGTACGTTAAATTTGATAGTGCTGAGGAAGAGCGCGATGGGACTAGTAACAGGTGCGTGCCAATGCTGCACAGTGAATACTTTTATTATTAAAATGATAAATCTGACTTTTTCTTTGTTATGCGAGCGAAAATTGATATGATAATATTATTATATTAAATGATATAACGATGATGCCATTTCATTTTTATATAAATATAATCGAATATATTCGACTATGTATTACAACTCATCAAACTAAATTTTTTTTTTTTGATAAGTCTCATCAAACTAAATTGATTATTTAAAACAATAATAATAACTGTAATAGCGACCTTTTTCTTTTCTTTTTTAATAGTTAAATGTTTTTCTAAATGAGATGTTATATTTAAGGATCTTCAACGGAGAATCTTCTCCATTAGGGCAAAGCTTCAATCGAGCTCTCAGGATTTGAATTAAAACTAGACAAATCCTAATGTGCTAGGACAACCCATGTGTGTGACTCTAGGACTTCACAATCTGTCCTAAATCACTGACTGCCTGGCAAATTCATTCCAAGTCTAGATGATGATCGTATGTTGTGGTTGGATACAGATGAGACCTTAACAAGTGATTAGCTCGATCAAGCAACGGTTTATGAACTAACTTTTTTTTGAATTTCAGTTGTATAGCCTATAGTGGGCTTAGCCCATTGGCTGTGTATTTTTGTCTCGATTTTGTGTCTCGTTCAAGCAACGGTTTATGAACTAACACTTTTTTTTTTGAATTGCAGTTTTATAGCCTATAATGGGCTTAGCCCATTGGCTTTGTATTTTTGTCTGGATTTTGTGTCCACTAGCACAATGTCTTGTTAAAAAAATAATAATAATAAATAAAAAAAGAAGAAGAAAGAAGTGTGTGAGTTTGCTTAACTTCCCTCCCCCCACCAAAAAAAAAAAAAACACTTTTATCAAATGGGCAATAGCCCTGGTGCAAACCCCTCTCTTTATTTAAAGAGGAGGTTAGGGCTCGCTTATTACCGTTCAAAACAATTTTTTTTTAAAAAATAAATGTATATGAAAGATCAAAGCTGCTTAAGTAATTACTTGTGGTATAACTTAGAATTTCTTTTGTATGACATCTTGTTGAAGAATTTTGTAGTTGTCAACAATTTTGAAAAAAAAAAAAAAAAATGGCTCAAGAAATCAAAACCAACCAAGTTAATTTCAATATATATATATATATATATATTAGTATTATGGATTTTCCAAAAGAAAGTAAATAACTAAAATCTAAATACTGCTTCATTAACATTATAAATGCAAATACAATTGTATAAGTTACATTGGACGTAAAAATATTAAATGTTACTGCCTTTATTGCAATACTAAATGTTTTTCTTATTACAATAGAAAAAAGGTGTGCCGATAGGAGCCAATCTGGGGTCCACAGCAGCCATGGCCGCTGCCGCCTGTGTGGCTGTTAATAAGTTGTTCGGCGCCCCACTACCAAGGAGTGACCTAGTGCCACTAATAATCGATTCGGAGACCAAAATTTCAAATTACAGTTATAACGTTGCAGCAACCATTTTGGGTAGATTTATTATTGTTGGAGTTAATCCATTGGTATATAAGCCGTTAAGATACCCACCAGAAAATCATCTGTATTTTGTGATTCTCTGTTTGGAATTTAACGTCTATTGGACGAAAATTATTGAGAGTTTGTCGGAGTATTCGGACTACAAAATGCTTTGTGAAGAAGTTGCAATTTCATCTTGTGTATCTTCAATCTTGGCGAGTGATCCTATGGGGTTTGGTAAAGCTATATCGTATGATGGTTCAATGAAGGTTTCTGTATTCTCGGGTTGGAAATCGATAAAGAAAGTGGTGATGGAAGCGGGAGCTTACGGCTGTAGTACAACAGCTATGAGACTTACAATGGTGGCTGTCATCGACTATTTCGCTAAAAGTGAATTGATCGGTAAGAAGATGTCGAAAGAGTGTGAGAAGCAAGGAACCAAGGTCACGTTTATGGAGGTTCGAAGATTGATACAAAATGGAACAGTAGTTGTCAATACTGATCCTCCTATCGTTCGACAGGTATAATGTCCTATATATCTTACATCTTCGAATTGAATTATTACAGTGGGTGCTTTGCAGAGCCTGCTATAATGTTTTATTACAGCGGGTGCTTTGCAGAGCCCGCGAACTTCAATCGTACAAATAGTTATTGGGTGCGTATCGATCCCCTCCTTAAGACACATTTGCAGACCATGTCTCTTCATTCCACTTCCTCTCCTTGTATTCTCGATCTCTCTGCAACTCCAATCTGTAATGGCGATTTTTCTTTACGCTAATGTCTCTACCATGACAGTTCCTTCTACCGACCTGTCTAAAATTAAAAATTCTTCGGCGCCATTCAAACCCCACTGTAAGCTTTCCTTTTTCTCCACCTAAATTTCATTCCATGAAAACCTTTGCTCCACCTAACTTCTTCTGCTTAGCTTCTAAAGGCCAAACTGAGCCGGCACCTCTCTATAAATCTGTGACATATACTACCCCTCCCACCCTCGTTAACTTTGGCTGCCAATTTGAGTAGATCGGCTGCGCCATCTCTGGTAACGGCGACATGGTTACGATGACTGTGAATCCAGTTGTCAAAGGCGGAAAGGTTTTTGTCACCAATATGGTTAATATAGGAATAAAAGACCTGCACAAGCTCAAAGAGCCTTTAAGTTACTCAGCCGTTTTTGCGACGTCTGTTATGATGCAGTTACTTAAAGTCAAGTTCATTAGTCTGTCTATTACAATAGAAAAAAGTGTGCCGATAGGAGCCGATCTAGGGTAGACAACAACTATGGCCGCTGCCATCGATATGGCTGTAAATAAGTTGCTCAGCTTCCAACTACCAAGGAGTGACCTAACGTCTCTGATAATCAATTCGGAGACCAAAGTTTCAAATTACAGTTATAACATTGCCGCAGCCATTTTGGGTGTATTTGTTATTATTGGAGGTAATCCGTTGGTATATAAGCCGTTAAAATACCCACCGAAAAATCATCTGTATTTTGTGATTCTCTGTTTGGAATTTGATGTCTTTAGGACGGAAATTACTGAGAGTTTGTCGGAGTATTCGGACTACAAAATATTTGGTGAAGAAGTTGCAATTTCATCTTGTGTATCTTCAATCTTTGCGAGTGATCCTGTGGGGTTTGGTAAAGCTATATCGTATGGGTCCGATGAAGATTTCTATAATCCCGGGTTGGAAATCGATTAAGAATATGGCGATGGAAGTGGGAGCTTACAGCTACAGTACAACTACTATGGGACTTACGGTGGTCGCTGTCACCAACTGTTTCGCTAAGGGCGAACTGATCGGTGTGAGGATGTCGAAAGTGTGTAAGAAGCAAGGAACCAAGGTCACGTTTTTGGAGGTTTGAAGATTGAAACAAAGTGGAACTGTGCTTGTCAATACTGATCCTTCTAGCATTTGACAGGTATGGTGTTTTATATATCTTACATTTTTGAATTGAATTATTACAGCGGGTGGTTTGCGGAGCCTGTTGTAATGTCTTATTACAGCGGGTGGTTTGCAGAGCCTGCAACCTTCAACCATACGAACAGTTATTGGGTGCGCATCGATCCCTCCTAGAGACACTTTAGTAGACCACGTCTCTTCATTCCATTTCCTCTCGCTGCAATCTCGATCTCTCTGCCCTTCCGGTCTTTAATGGCGAATTTTCTTTACACTAACGTCTCTATCATGACAGTACCATCCTCTGACCTGTCCAAAATAAAAAATTCTCCAGCGCCATTCAAACGCCGCCTCTTTATTCCAAACTTTAAAGTAAGATTTCCTTCTTTTCCTCCCAAATTTCCTTCCATGCAAACCTTCGCTCCACCTAGCTTTGTCTGCTTGGCTTCTAAAAGCCAAACTGAGCCTGTGCCTTTCTATAAGTCTGTGACGTGTACTACCCCTCCCACCCTTGTCAATTTTGGCCGCGAATTTGAGTCGATTGGCTGCGCCATCTCTTATAGCTGCGACATGGTTATAGTGACTGTGAATCCAGTTGTCAAAGGCGGAAAGGTTTTCGTCACCAATATGATTAGTATGGGAGTGAAATACCCACATAAGCCTAAAGGGCCTTTGAGTTACTAAGTCGCCATTGCTGCGTTGGCTGTGATGCAGTTACTTAACGTTAAGTCCATTGGTCTTTCTATTACAATAGAAAAAGGTGTGCCGAATGAGCCAATCTGGGGTCGACAGCAGCAATAGCCGCTGCTGCCGGTGTGGCTGTTAATGAGTTGTTCGGCGCCCCACTACTAAGAAGTGACCAAGTGCCTCTGATAATCGATTCGGAGATCAGAGTTTCAAATTACAGTTATAACATTGCAGTAACCATTTTAGGTGGATTTATTATTGTTGGAGGTAATCCGTTGATATATAAGCCGTTAAAATACCCACCGAAAAATCATCTGTATTTTGGGATTCTTTGTTTGGAATTTGACGTCTATAGGACGGAAATTACTGAGTGTTTATCGGAGTTTTTGGACTACAAAATGCATCGTGAAGAAGTTGTAATTTCATCTTGTGTGTCTTCAATCTTGGCGAGTGATCTTGTGAGGTTTGGTAAAGCTATATTGTATAACGGTCCGACGAAGGTTTCGGTAATCTCGGGTTGGAAATCGATTAAGAAAGTGGCAATGGAAGCGGGAGCTTACAGCTACAGTACATCAGCTATGTGACATAAGGTGGTGGTTGTCACCAATTATTTTGCTAAGGGCAAACTGATCGTTGAGAAGATGTCAAAAGAGTGTGAGAAGCAAGGAACCAAGGTCACGTTTATGGAGGTTTGAAGATTGAAATAAAGTAGAATTATGGTTGTCAATACTGATCCTCTTAGTGTTTGACAGGTATAATGTCTTATATATCTTACATCTTTGAATTAAATTATTACAGCTAGTGCTTTGCAGAGCCCGCTGTAATGTCTTATTACAGTGGGTGTTTTATAGAGCCCACGACCTTCAACTGTATGAACAGTTATTGGGTGCGCATCGATCCCTCCTTGAGACACATTAGCAGACCACGTCTTTCATTCCACTTCCTCTTGTTGCAATCTCGATCTTTCTGCAACTCCGGTTGGTAATGGCGATTTTTCTTTACGCTAATGTCTCTACCATGACAGTACCTTCCACCGACCTATCTGAAATCGAAAATTCCCCTGCACCATTCAAACACCGCCTCTTTATTCCAAACTTTAAAGTAAGCTTCCCTTCTTCTCCACCCAAATTTCCTTCCATAAAAACCTTCGCTCCACCAAACTTCGTCTGTTTGGCTTCTAAAAAACAAACTAAGCCGATACTTCTCTATAAATCTGCGACATGCACTACTCCTCCCACTTTTGCCAACTTTGGTAACAGATTTGAGTTAATCAGCTAAGCCATCTCTAGCAGGGGTGACATGGTTACGGTGACGGTGAATCTAGTTTTCAAATGCGGAAAGGTTTTCGTCACCAATATGGTTAGTAAGGGAGTGAAAGACCTGCACAATCTCAAAGTGCCTTTAAGCTACTCAGTCGCCTTTGCGCGTTGGCTGTGATGCAGTTCGTCCAGTCCATTGGTCTATCTATTACAATAGAAAAAGGTGTGCAAACAGGAGCCAATCTGAGATCGACAACAGCAATGACTGCCGCCGCAGGTGTGGCTATTAATGAGTTGTTTGGCGCCCCACTACTAAGAAGCTAGTGACCTAGTGCCTCCGATAATCAATTCGAAGACCAAAGTTTCAAATTCCAGTTATAACGTTGCAGCAGTCATTTTGGTTAGATTTATTTTTGTTGGAGGTAATCCGTTGGTATATAAGCTGTTAAAATACCCACCGAAAAATCATCTATACTTTGTGATTCTCTGTTTGGAATTTGACGTCTATGGGACGGAAATTACTGAGAGTTTGTCGGAGTATTCGGACTACAAAATGCTTGGTGGAGAAATTACGATTTTATCTTGTGTTTCTTCAATCTTGGCTAGTGATCTTGTAGGGTTTAGTAAAGTTATATCGTATGATGGTCCGATAAAGGTTTCTGTAATCCCGGGATGAAAATTGATTAAGAAGGTGGTGATGGAAGTGGGAGCTTACAACTACAGTACAACAGCTATAGGACTTACGGTGGTGGCTGTTACTGATTGTTTCGCTAAGGGCGAATTGATCGATGAGAAGATGTCGAAAGAGTTTGAGAAGTAAGGAACCAAGGTCACGTTTATAGAGGTTCGATGATTGAAACAAAGTGAAACTGTGGTTGTTAATACTGATCCTCCTAGCGTTTAACAGGTATAATGTCTTATATATCTTACATCTTTAAATTGAATTATTACAGCGGGTGCTATGCGGAGCTCGCGGCCTTCAACCGTACGAACTATTATTGGGTGCACATCGATCCCTCCTTGAGACACATTAGCAGACCATGTCTCATCATTCCACTTTCTCTCGCTGCAATCTCGATCTCTCTGCAACTCTGGTCTGTAATGGCGATGTCTCTTTATGCTAATGTCGCTACCGTGACACTACCTTCTACCGACCTGTCCAAAATCAGAAATTCTCCAGCATTCAAACACCACTTTTTTATTCTGAACTTTAAAGAAAGTTTTCCTTCTTTCCACCCAAATTTCCTTCCATGAAGACCTTTGCTCCACCTAGCTTTGTCTGCTTGGCTTCTAAAAGCCAAACTGAGCCGGCACCTCTCTATAAGTTTGTGACATGCACTGCCCCTCCTACCTTTGCTAACTTTAGTAGCTGATTTGAGTTGATCAGTTGCTCCATTTCTGGCAGCGGTGACATAGTTACGGTGACTGTGATTCCAGTTGTCAAAAGCTGAAAGGTTTACATCACTAATATGGTTAGTATGGGAAAGAAAGACCTGCACAAGCTCGAAGAGCCTTTGAGCTGCTCAACCGCCTTTACGGTGTTGGCTGTGATGTAGTTACTCAACGTCAAGTCCATTGGTCTGTCTATTACAATAGAAAAAATGTGTGGCGATAGGAACCAATCTGGGGTCGACAGCAGCCATGGCTGCTGCCTGTGTGGCTGTTAATAAGTTGTTCGGCGCCCCACTACCAAAGAGTGACCTAGTGCCACTAATAATCGATTCAGAAACCAAAATTTTAAATTACAGTTATAACATTGCAGCAGCCATTTTGGGTAGATTTATTATTGTTGGAGGTAATCAATTGGTATATAAGCCGTTAAAATATCCACCAGAAAATCATCTGTACTTTGTGATTCTTTGTTTGGAATTTGAAGTCTATTGGACGAAAATTTCTGAGAGTTTGTCGGAGTATTCGGACTATAAAATACTTTGTGAAGAAGTTGCAATTTCATTTTGTGTGTCTTCAATCTTGGCGAGTGATCCTGTGGTGTTTGATAAAGCTATATCGTATGATGGTTCGATAAAGGTTTCTGTATTCCCGGGTTGGAAATCGATTAAGAAAGTGGCGATGGAAGCGGGAGCTTACGGCTGTAGTATAACTGCTATGGGACTTAAAGTGGTGGTTGTCATCGACTATTTCGCTAAAAGCGAACTGATCGGTAAGAAGATGTTGAAAGAGTATGAGAAGCAAGGAACCAAGGTTATGTTTATAGAGGTTCGAAGATTAATACAAAGTGGAACTGTGGTTGTCAATACTGATATTCCTATCTTTTGACAGGTATAATGTCCTATACATCTTACATCTTTGAATTAAATTATTACAACGGGTGTTTTGCAGAGCCCGCTATAATGTCTTATTACAGTGGGTGCTTTGCAGAGCCTGCGAACTTCAATCGTATAAACAGTTATTGGGTATGCATTGCTCCATCCTTGAGACACATTTGCAGACCATGTCTCTTCATTCCACTTCCTCTCCATGTATTCTCGATCTCTCTGCAACTCTAGTCTGTAATGGCGATTTCTCTTTACGCTAATGTCTCTACCATGACAGTTCCTTCTACCGACCTGTCCAAAATTGAAAATTCTCTGGCGTCATTCAAACCCCACTTCTTTATTCTGAACTTTAAAGTAAGCTTTCCTTATTCTCCACCGAAATTTCCTTCCATGAAAACCCTCGATCCACCTAACTTCGTCTACTTGGCTTCAAAAGACTAAACTAAGCCGGCACTTCTCTATAAATCTGTGACGTATACTGCCCCTCCCACCCTTGTCAACTTTGGTTATCGATTTGAGTTGATCGGCTGCGCTATCTCTGGCAGTGGCGACATGGTTACGATGACTGTGAATCTAGTTGTCAAAGGCGGAAAGGTTTTTGTCATCAATATGGCTGATATGGGAGTATAAGACCTGCATAAGCTCAAAAGCCTTTAAGTTACTCAGCTGATTTTGCGACATTGGTTGTGATGTAATTACTTAAAGTCAAGTTCATTGGTTTGTTTATTACAATAGAAAAAGGTGTGCCGACAGGAGCCGATATAGGGTAGACAACAACCATGGCCACTGCCGTCGATATGGCTATTAATGAGTTGTTCGGCTCCCCACTACTAAGGAGTGACTTAACGCATCTGATAATCGATTCGGAGACCAAAGTTTCAAATTACAGTTATAACATAAATGACTGTATTTGTTATTGTTGGAGGTAATTCGTTGGTATATAAGCCGTTAAAATACCCACCGAAAAATCATCTATATTTTGTGATTTCTTGTTTGGAATTTGACGTCTTTGGGACGGAAATTACTGAGAGTTTGTCGGAGTATTCGGACTACAAAATGCTTGGTGAAGAAATTACAATTTCATCTTGTGTGTCTTTAATCTTTGCGAGTGATCCTGTGGGGTTTGGTAAAGCTATATCGTATGATGGTCCAATAAAGGTTTCTGTAATCCCGGGTTGGAAATCGATTAAGAATATGGCGATGGAAGCGGGAGCTTACGGCTGCAGTACAACTGCTATAGGACTTACGGTGGTGGCTGTCACCAACTGATTCGCTTAGGGCGAATTGATAGTGAGAAGATGTCGAAAGTGTGTAAGAAGCAAGGAACCAAGGTCATGTTTATAAAGGTTCGAAGATTGAAACAAAGTGGAACTATGCTTGTCAATACTGATCCTTCTAGCATTTGACGGGTATAATATCTTATATATCTTATATCTTTGAATTGAATTACTACAGCGGGTGGTTTGCGGGGCCTGCTGTAATGTCTTATTATAGTGGGTGGTTTGCAGAGCCTGCGACCTTCAACTGCACGAACAGTTATTGGGTGCGCATCGATCCCTCCTAGAGACACATTAGCAGACCATGTCTCTTCATTCCACTTTCTCTCACTGTAATCTCGATCTCTCTGCCCCTCCGGTCTTTAATGGCGAATTATCTTTACTCTAATTTCTTTACTCCCATACTAATGTCTGTACCATGAAAAATAAAAAATTCTCCGGCGCAATTCAAACGCCGCCTCTTTATTCTAAACTTTAAAGTAAACTTTCCTTTTTCTCCTCCCAAATTTCCTTCCATGCAAACTTTCGTTCCACCTAGCTTCGTCTGTTTAGCTTCTAAATACCAAACTGAGCATGTACCTTTCTATAAGTCTGTGACGCGTACTGCCCTTCCCACCCTTGCCAACTTAGGTAGCAAATTTAAGTCGATTGGCTGCGCCATCTCTGGCAGCGTCGACATGGTTACGGTGACTGTGAATCCAGTTGTTAAAGGCGAAAAGGTTTTCGTCACCAATATGGTTAGTATGGGAGTGAAATACTTGCATAAACTTAAAGGGCATTTGAGTTACTCTGTCGTCATTACTGCGTTGGTTGTGATGCAGTTACTTAACATCAAGTCCATTGGTCTTTCTATTACAATAGAAAAAGGTGTACCGACAAGAGCCGATCTGGGGTCGACAACAGCAATGGTCATTGCTGCTAGTGTTGCTGTTAATGAGTTATTCGGCGCCGTACTACCAAGGAGTGACCTAGTGCCTCTAATAATCGATTCGGAGACTAAAGTTTCATATTACAGCTATAACGTTGAAGCAACTATTTCGGGTGAATTTGTTATTGTTAAAGGTAATCCATTGGTATATAAGCTGTTAAAATACCCACCAAAAAATTATCTGTATTTTATGATTCTCTGTTTGGAATTTGACGTCTATGGGATAGAAATTATTGAGAGTTTGTCTGAGTATTTGGATTTCAAAATATTTGGTGAAGAAGTTACAATTTCATCTTGTGTGTCTTCAATCTTGGCAAGTGATCTGGTGGGTTTAGTAAAGCTATATCGTATGATGGTTTGATGATGGTTTCTGTAATCCCAGGTTGGAAATCGATTAGGATGGTGGCGATGGAAGTGGGAGCTTACAACTGCAGAATAGCAACTATGGGACTATCGGTGGTGGCTGTCCACGACTGTTTCGCTTAGGGCGAACTGATCGATGAGAAAATGTCGAAAAAATGTGAGAAGTAAGGAACCAAGGTCACGTATATGGAGGTTCAAAGATTGAAACAAATTGGAACTGTGGTTGTCAATACTGATCCTCCTAATGTTTGACAGGTATAATGTCTTATATATTTTACATCTTTGAATTGAATTATTACAGTGGGTGCGCTATAATGTCTTATTACAGCGGGTGCTTTGCAAAGCCCACGACCTTTAACCGTACGAATAATTATTGGGTGTGCATCGATCCTTACTTGAGACACATTAGTAGACCACATCTCTTCATTCCACTTCCTTTCGCTACAATCTCAATCTCTCTACAACTCCATTCTGTAATGGAGATTTCTCTTTATGCTAATGTCTCTACGATGACAACCTTCCATCGACCTGTCCAAAATCGAAAATTCTCTGGCACTATTCAAACGCCACCTCTTTATTCCGAACTTTAAAGTAAGCTTTCTTTCTTTTCCACCCAAATTTCCTTCCACGAAGACCTTCGCTCCACCTAGCTTCGTCTGCTTGGCTTCTTAAAGTCAAACTGAGCCGACCGCTCTCTATAAGTCTGTGACGTGCACTGACCCTCCTACCTTTGCCAACTTTGGCAACGGATTTGAGTTGATCGGCTGCGCCATCTCTGGTAATGGCGACATGGTTATGGTGACTGTGAATGCAATTGTTAAAGGCAGAAAGGTTTTCGTCACCAATATGGTTAGTGTAGGAGTGAAAGACATGCACAATCTTAAAGTACCTTTAAGTTACTTAGCCGCCTTTGCGACGTTGGCTGTGATGTAGTTACTTAACGTCAAATCCATTAGTCTGTTTATTACAATAGAAAAAGGTGTGCCTATACATCTAGTGGAAGCAAGCTTGTTGGATCGAGCTAGCTTCCATTACAGAGCTCTTGTTGAATCCTTGGTTAAATACCGGACAGTGCTTGATTAAACACCAGTGTGGTAAGCCGTTCATGGAGCTCTTTGTTTTGGGTCGTTGTTGCTGTTTTTCTATCTTTTTTATTCTATCTTTATTGTAGACCCATCTCGTAGAATCTCTTATCCTCCCCCACAATCCTTTTTTCTGCTTCGAAAATACATACTCCTTTCTAATTAGGGCTTGAAAATGGGCATTTTCGTGCTCCAGAGGCTCTCTGTTTTATTCTTCATTATAACAAGAACGTGTTCGATTATACCTCTGATGGCTCCCACAAATGGAGGTGATTATGGTGGCGATGTTCAAACGTTTTCTAATCCTCCTTCACCAATACCACCACCACCTCTTTTGCATTTGAATTCGTCTTCGCTGTTTAAACCCAGCATAGCTGTAATCGTCGGAGTTCTAACTTCCATGTTCTCAGTCATGTTTTTGTTACTTCTCTACGCGAAGCATTGCAAGAGGGTAAATGGGTACGTCAATGATGGCCCCAATTCTAGAGCCCCACTACCTCTGCTGCCAGGAAGAATTTCCCTAAAATACCCATTTCATTTGATGCAGAAAGAATCCAAAAAACATGGTTCAATTAGGATTGTAGCAGTTTCTTCAATCTTGGTTTAAAATTCAGATGCTGATTTGTCCGCCGCCGTCCACCTCATTTGGCAGCTTCTTCTCCGCCTTGGGAGCCATTTTAGAGAGAGAAAGAGTGCCCGGAAAATTAAAGGAATTGGAGGAAGGTGAAATTTCAGAACCGTGAGGGTGGCAATATAGTCATTTCACAGTTTGCTTACCCATATTAGTAATATATAATTTTGATAGTTAAATAAAATCAAGGGTATATTAGTAAACTTATTCTTTTTGTACTTTAGGAAGGGGGTGTGAGAGCAATATTGACTTAGGTTTAATATGAGGATAATAAATTGAAACCTCAGGGGTCTCAGATTATTTAACCTTATTTATTAAAATTGAAGACATATTTATCTTTTTATTTGCATCACATCGCATTCAAGATACATATCTCAAATTCTAATCCAGAGCGGTGTTGCATTGCTATTACACGAAGTATAACATAGAATTTGCTTTAGATGACATTTTGTTGAAGAATTTTGTGGTTTTCAACAATTAAAATTTAGAAAGAAAAAATCTCTTAAGAAATCGAACCAACATGAACCAAACCTATTTATTTTAATATAGTAGTAATTTATATTTTTTTTTTGGATTTTCCAAAAAGAAATAAAAATACATAAGATTCAATTAATATTGCTTCATTGACATTATAAAATCCAAATACAATGATATAAGTTTCATTGCCTGTAAGAATATTAAACATTACTATCGTGATTCATTACTGCCTTTATTCTCCTAGTTATAATACAAAGAAATATATTTGTTTGAGCAGCAGCAACTGCATGTTATGAGCATAAAAGGTTTAGGCCTTGTTAAAAACCACTTTGAGTGGTTGTTCGCTCAAAGCCAAACGTCTTGTTCCATCATTGTCAACAAAAATGCCAAGGTCTCCACAAAGAACTTTGCAACCTTCATTGACACCACAAACATGTGGACAAAACATCATCCTGTAGTCATCATCATATTTCTCAATCCTGAACCAGTTGCTCAATGTTGCACGACCCGGGTTTCCTTCAACACCGCCGGTTCGCCGGTTGTCACGAATCGTCCCTCCAACACATCAGAAGGAGCGAGCTTCCACACGGTTGATTGGACACAGGTTGTTGCAGCTGAGAACTTGACGTTTTGATCAGTTAGCAGACGAATTACGCCCTCATTCGGGTTCACCGACGAGAACATCAAAGGGAGACCATTGCTACCGTTGCATTGTTCTTGGACAACATCAAGTGGGCAGTTACTGCCATTACTATTGCGGCCTAGGGTGAGTCCACCTCCGCTGCCACTGACGGCCGGCAATATGTAATAGTTGACGCCTGTCTGTAGCTTCTCACCTGAGCTGTCAAGCACCGCGTCTTGTGCAGCACCAACCAATGGATTTGTAGAGAAAGCAAAAAGAAGGAAAGAAAGCAATAACATTGTTGTCTTCATGACTGTAGCTAGCTAGTATAAATATTTGTGTTCGATTTGTATGCATGAATGTTTTAACGAGAGCTTGTATTTATAGAGCTACACATGCACGCGGGTTTGAATTGAACGAGGCTAATGATGTTGGAGATGTGGGCAGCCCTAAACCAAATGGTTGACACCGTTTGACAAAGACCCATTCTGGATACTGGATAGGGCTTGGAATTGGATACTCATATCAAGAACAATTTGTCCATCTTCAGAATGCGCGTCAGCCCAACCCGATGCATTTTTTTGAGAATTTATGACATGAAGGGATAAAATACAAAAACATTAATTTGGAGTATAGTTAACCTTTATATCTAGAAAAGAATAAATGGTAAAGTAAACCTTGTATTTTAGAATAAAAGTCAAACTTACTTACCCAAGAAAAAGCAAAGTCAAAAGCTCTCATCTCTTCCACAATCACTTCCCTTAATTTACGCATGGAAGGGTACACATGAATTGAACATGAACTGCTAACATATTGAAGAATAAGGTCAGATGGCCGCCGGCGTCACCTTTACCAAAAAAAAATAAAAATAAAAATGTTCAGATAGCTGCCACTATTTTTGACCCATATATTATTCGTTAAAATTTTTGAACAGATCTGATTCATGGATAATTGGACAAACCATGCATGCCAACAAACAAAACTAAGACAAAGCAGAACATAAAGGGTGGCCGGGCATGTCATAATCTTAGCATGTGTGAGTCAGGTGCTTGACATGTTTCATTAAAGTTGAAATTGATGAGCTCTTTTTGTAATTTTCAACATTACAACCCCATTTCCAGTTTATGGAGTATTTTAGTTTTTTATTCCCAGAAGAGATGATTCTTACTCCCATAATCATTGTATTTAAATACAGAAAAGTGATAATTTGATTTTATTTTTTCTTTATTTTTTTATTGAAGTGTTTTGAGAAACAAAATTTAAAGTAACGAAATTAAGAGATCAGAGAATAATTCTTTAATAGGAGTATGTTTCAAGAATATCGATTATACTTTTAATAGAAATATACTTCTTGAGTTTCATTTTATGATTATAGTTTTTTGTTTTTAATTTTTAATTTTTTTATTTATTTTGTGATGGAACCATTTATCTTTTTGGTTGGATTTTGTTCATTGGAAAAAGTAGGCAAAGTCACTAATTGGCGAATCTGTATGAGAAAAACAACAAAATATTTTACACTTTATCTATTAATCATTTTTTTTTTTTTTTACGTGCACCGTATAGGCAAAAATCACATTGGACTCTGTAAGAACTAAGCTTCTCACAACAAAAATCTCTGACATAAAGGATGCTCGAAGAACTGCTGCTAAATGGGATTTGCCTGAGGCGATTTTTCGTCCTCCACCCGAACCACCTAACCATACAGCACGATGACAATGAAGTTGGAGGCAGAGAGCTCCATGCTTACCGTCATTGTTTCAATGTTTTGTTGGGTTTTTGGGCCCTTGTTTGGTCTTTTTGGGCCTCTGCTATGTTGGGTCTATTTGTTAACTTTTGGCTAACATTCATTCTGGGCCTGTGTACTTTCTCCACTTATATATTGAAGTTTAACTTCCAAAAAATAAAAATAAAAATAAAAAAAAACACGCCAGTATTGAAGAGGAATCTGCATGACATATGAGAGTTTGGTTCTATAGTCATTAACATGCATTTGTGTAAAGAATTGTGGAGTGCTAGAGAGTGGTGAAGGATTCAATAACATTAGAAAGTTTGTAAGAATTTATACATTAGACCAAGAATGTTCTGAAAGTGTAGAATGTTACTATATAAAGTTGTAGATATATTAGGTGGATACAGTATCTTTTAAAGAAGAGATGTCTATAAATTGCTGAGATCCCATTTGCAACCTCTATCCATGAGAATTAATGGATATGGTTAAGAAGAGCTTAGTGAGTGATAAGTGTATTATATTATGAAAAAAATAAATTGATCTAGGGTTGCAGGTGTAAAAAACTAATGGTCCATGCCTATCTTGTAATAGTCCTGGTAACCTTTGTTGTATTTATATATTTTTCTTTTATTTATACAAGCTTACCCATTCAACTAAAAATAATAATTTTCTCGAAATCGTTACATTTGTATATGAAAAATGTAAAATTACTTGAAGTATAACTTAAATTTGTTTTGTATAATATTTAGTTGAAAATTTATTAAATTTTTTTATATATAAAAAAAAAATTCCAAGAAAGGAACCATGAACCAAACCTAGTTAATTTTAATATACTACGGAGTAGTAAAGAAAGGTTTACCAAAAGAAAGAAAATAAATAAATCTTGATACGGCTTCATTAACACTGTAAATGCAAATACAATGGTATAAGTTATAAGAATATTAAATATTACTGACTTTATTGCAATAAATATAATCTGAAAGCACAAGCTTTCTTAATACATAGTTATAATACAAAGATATATCTCTGTTTTAATAATTAAAAGTAACTGTTATGAGCAGAAAGTGTTTAGGCCTTCTTAAAGATCACTTTGAGGGGTTGTTCGTTCACAGCCAAACGTCTTGTTCCATTGTCAACAAAAATGCCAAGGTCACCACAAAGAACTCTGCAACCCTCGTTGACACCGCACACAGAAGGACAAAAGACAAGCTTGTAGTCTTCATCATACTTCTCAATCCTGAACCAGTTGCTCAATGTTGCACGACCCGGGTTTCCTTCAACACCACCGGTTGACACGAAAGATCGTCCTACCGACTCGTCAGAAGCGAGCTGCCACACGGTTGATTGGACACAGATTGTGCCAGCTGAGAACTTGATGTTCTGATCAGTTATGAGGTTAACCACCTTCTCATTCGGGTTCACCGAAGTAAATGTCAAAGGGAGACCATTGCTATCGTTGTTTTGTTCTTGGACAACATCAAGTGGGCAGTTGCTGCCATTCCTATTGGGGCCTAGGGTGAGTCCACCTCCGCTGCCACTGACAGCCGGCAATACGTAATAGTCGACGCCTGTCTGGAGCGGCTCACCGGAGCTGTCAAGCACGGCCTCTTGTGCAGCAGCAAGCAATGGATTTGTTGAGAAAGCAAAAAGAAGGAAAGAAAGCAATAACATTGTTGTCTTCATGATTGTTGCAATAAGTGTTTGTGTTTGATTTGTAATTTTGTATGCATGAATGTTGAACGTTAGCTTGTATTTATAGAGATACACATTCACACGTGGTTTTGAATAGTATGAACTTATGAAGCTAAATGACGTTGGGGTGACTGCCCTAAATCATAGGGTTCACACTGTTTGGCAGAGTACCATTCTGAATAGGCTTGGAATCGGATAACCATGTCAAGAATAGTACATGTCTGGCCTAACCGACGTGTTGGCATAAGGAAGGTGGTGATAGCCTTATCATTTGACAATTATTTATTTATTTATTTATTTATTTATTTATTTATTTATTTTTTTGAGACTCAACATGAATATGAAAGACCGATCTAAGTTTTTGACTAAATTTTGTAGAGAAAGAGTGCTTTGCTACTCAAATCTATGTCCCAAACTTCTTCAGCCCGACTTTTTTGTCATTACAATGTGTAATGGAACAGTTTAAATTAATGTGGTTAACCTTCATATCTTTTGGATCAGCTTAAACTAAAATTAGCCTATCCAAACCCGATAAGTTAGGACATGCTATGTTTAGTGTCTGAAGCATGCCTTTAATTTCACAGGGTTTGGGGAAATTTTTTGTGAAGATATAGATAAAGTAAACCTTGTGATGCAGAATAAAAGTCAAAAAAACATATTTGCCCAAAAAAGCTAGCAAAGTTAAAAACTCTCATCATTTCTACTATATCTTCCCCTTACGCATTGGAGAGTACATTTGAATTAAACAATAAGTTCAGATGACGTGCCCTTTACGCATTGGAGCGTATATTGTTCACATATGTTATTCATAGCCTTTGGATCAGGTCAGATTCATGGATAAGCCATGCATGCGATCAAGCAAAACTAAACCAGAACATAAACGGATACATACGTCATAATAATATATATATATATATTTTTTTGGCAAAAAAATGTCATAATTATATTTCCTCCATCCTATATTAAATGTCTGTGTTTATAAATTAGAGTTTTTAAAGGAACAAGCAATTAATGCATTATTTTCTTTTAAAATTATCAACTTGTCCTTTGTAGTTTAGATATGTATAGTTACCAAATTTAAAATTTTTAAAAAATATAAAAGATAATGATTTAACGATAAAATTTATTTGCTTTGACTTTTCAGAGTGGAGAATTAATTTGAAATATTTAAAAATAAAATAATAAATTATTAATATGAAACAGAAATAATAACATATACGTGATACTATGTTGGGATTGGGTGAGATGCTTGTCATCTCAGGCTAAGCCCAACTATATCCAAGTCATGTTGGGTAAAGCCAAGCCGGCCAAGTTATGGGTTTGGCTTTAGTTTGGTGATCAACAGCCTAATATTTGTTATTTTTTTTTATTTTATGTTTGAGTGGAACCAATTTGATTGAATAATATATTTTGATTGGTCGACGTGCATATCAACAATGTAATATGCGGATTCCTCCAAATTCAATGTAATATGCACTAGATCCTATCAGAATTGCAATTAAGTATGCTTGGGCGATAATAGTACTTATGTTGCAACCCTTTAAAAAAAAATTATAAAAAAATTCCTTTGGGGACGTTCGCAAAAATGACACGCACAAATCAAAAAAATGTTTCATATTTTTTTAACATAATTTCATTAATAAATTTTAGATAAGCAACATGCCAACATATACCATGAAAAAAAAAAAAAAAAAAAAAATTACATAAGCACCCAACTTGCATCTCATTTAACTTGAAAAAATATATATATATGTCAAGTGCCGACTCACCCAGTATCTTTTTCCTACCTAACATCGTCATTCTGCGAGGAGAAAAAAAAAAAAAAAAAAAAAATTGGTCATTATGTTCCCATCCACTGTCACCTTCCACTTAAAGATTTATTAATATATTTATAAATGTTTCTTCTGAACTTTGTATACTTCAATCAGTGCTTCATATTTCACCACGTCATTATTTAGTCAAAGTCTACATTAAAAATTGTGTTACAATTGAATTTGTAATTACTAATTATAAACTTTGACCAAATAATGACATGTCTAAAATTAAACTACATGAAATTTGCGGAGTTCAGGAGAGATATCAGGTTGAAGATGATCCAAATCAATTTAGTCTCTGTGTGTGAGTATTTGTGTACCTATATTTGATAGTGCTGAGGAAGAGCACGATGGGGCTGGTAACAGGTGGGTGCCAATGTTTTTTTTTTTTGATGGTAAAGCAAACACAAACACACACTTTTTTGCTCACGCCGAGGTTCGAACCCCTCCTCTCTTCCAGGTCATACCATTGAGCCAAAGACCCTTTGGTGGTGGGTGCCAATGTTGAACCGTGAATACTTTCATTAGTAAAATGATAAATCTGACTGCTTTTTTTTTTTTCTTGTTGGTTTGTCATGCGAGTGGATAATAATGTTACGATAATATTACCATTTTTAATGATATAACTGTATTACAACTCATCAAACTAAGTTGATTATTTAAAACAATAATAAGTGCAATACTCACCTTTTTCTTTTTCTTTTTTAATAGTTAAATATTTTCTAAATGAGATGTTATATTTAAGGATCTTCAACGGAGAATCTTCTCCATTAGGGCAAAGCTTCAATCGAGCTCTCATGAATTGAATTAAAACTAGACAAATCCTATTGTGCTAGGACAACCCTGTGAGTGACTCTAGGGCTTCACAATCTGTCCCAAATGACTGACTGCCTTGCAAATTCATTCCAAGTCTAGATAGATGATGATAGTTGGATACAGATGAGAGCTTAATAAGTGATTAGCCCGATCAAGCAACGGTTGATGAACCGAGTTTTTTTTTAATAATAGTTGTATATATAGCTGTATATATATATAGCCCCATTGGGTTTGTATTTTTCTCTGGATTTTGTGTTCATTAACCAATGCCTCGTATGTAAATTCTTTTGTCTATACATTTACTTCATTAACTTCCAAAAATTTTTTTGTTAAATTGTATATGGAAGATGAAAGCTGCTTAAGTAATTACTTGCTGTATAACTTAGAATTTATTTTGTCTGACAACTTGTTGAAGAATTTTGTGGTTGTCAACAATTTTGAAAAAAAAAAAAAGAAAAAAAAAAAAAGAGAGAGAATCGCTAAGAAATCAAAACCAAACTCAATATAGTAGCATTATGGATCTTCCAAAAGAAAGAAAATAAATAAAATCTAAATACTGCTTTATTAACATTACAAATTCAAATACAATAATATACGTTACATTGGGTGTAAAAATATTAAATGTTACTTATTACATAGTTTAAATACAAAGATATAGCTTTATTTTAGCAGTAACAACTGTTTTGAGCAGACAAGGTTTAGGCCCTCTTAAACACCACTTTGAGTGGTTGTTCACTCAAAGCCAAGCGTCTTATTCCATTGTCAACAAAAATGCCAATGTCTCCGCAAAGAACACTGCAAAAATCATCGACACCACACACCCCTGGACAAAACACAAGCTTGTAGTCATCATCATACTTCTCAATCCTGAACCAGTTGCTCAATGTTTCACGACCCGGGTTTCCTTCAACACCCCCGGTTGTCACGAAACTTCGTCTCACGGACTCATCAAAATCAGCGAGCTTCCACACGGTTGATTGGACACAGGTTGTGGCAGCTGAGAACTTGATGTTCTGATCAGTTATCAGATTAACCACCTCCTCATTCGGGTTCACCGATGTAAATGTCAAAGGGAGACCATTGCTTCCGTAGCTTTGTTCTTGGACAACATCAAGTGGGCAGTTGCTGCCATTCCTATTGGGGCCTAGGGTGAGTCCACCTCCACTGCCACTGACAGCCGGCAACACGTAATAGTCGACGCCTGTCTGGACCCGCTCACCGGAGCTGTCAAGCACGGCGTCTTGTGCAGCAGCAAGCAATGGATTTGTTGAGAGAGCAAAAAGAAGGAAAGAAAGCAATAGCATTGTTGTCTTCATTGTTGTGGTAGTATTTGTGTTTGATGTGTATTAATGAATATTAACAAGAACTAGCTTTTATTTATAGAGATACACATGCACGTGGGTTTGAATATTATGAGGCGAACTGAAGTTGGAGATTAGGTGACATATGACATTATTTCAGACACGGTAAATACTTTGAAATTCTAGATGAATATGAGAGACAAGCTAAGCTTTTGACTTTATATTGTACAAAAGGAGTGTTTTGAGGCTCAAATCTATGTTTCAAACTTATCAGCCTAAGCTATTATCTATTACCCATTACAGTGTGTAATGACACCTATTAAATCAAGTTTAAATGTAGTTAACATTTTGGATCAGTCAAACTAACCTATCCAAACCACACAAGTTAATTTCAAATTTCAATATATAGGGGAAAAAAAAGTAAAGATAAAGATAAACTCTGTTTAAAGAATCAAAGTCAAAAACTTTTTTTCCTTTTAAAATTCAAAAAAAAAAAAAAAAAAAAAAAAAAAAAAAAAAAAAAGGTTCCAAAATTCCGATCATTTACACAATCACTTTCCTTTCCGTATAGAAGAGTACATTTGAATTGGATATGTGCTGTTAGGTTAGATGGCGGGCCCTTTACCCAAAGACAGAAGTCAGATGGCATGTCTCTTTTTTTGACACATGTTATACACGTACCTCTTTGATCATAACAGCTTAGATTATGCAGAAACAATCGACCAAAACTAAGACAAAAGGGTACTACGTATGATATTGGGTTGGGTTGGGTTGGGATTGGGTGAGGGAGTAGCTTATTAGAAATGCAAGACAGGGCTAGGGTGTATGTGCGACGTTCAGATCATGATGGGATTAATTTGGGTTCTTTCTTTTTCTCTTGATTCTATTCCGATCGAAATGTATGGGGGCTCTTGGGTCAGTACATGACATGTCTGCCCAGGCCAACTATATCCATGTCATGTTGACAACGTTCAGCTTAGGCCCAATCTAATTTAGGTTTATAAAGGGTTGGGGTTACCCAAGCCGGCCCAAGTTAGGGATTTGGCTTTAGTTACGTAAACAGCCTATTATTAATGTCCATGACACCTTAAGATATTTACATATGTATATACATGTGTAGGTAGTGAGACACAAACCACAATACATACACAAGATTAATATGGTAACTGGTGCTGAGGAAGAGTGTGATGGGGGTGGTAACAGGTGCCAATGTTGCCATGCATCGCGATGGGACACGGATGACCATTTTTCATTCTACCTTTTGTTTTTTGGCAAAAGATCCTTGAAACCTAGTGTATCAAAATAACATCTAAGATCATGTACCATCGAATTATGCTATTTAACCTAGATTCATCAATCAGACTAATCACTCAAAATAATCTTTGTTACGGAGTGATGATACAGTGCTCATTATAAATAAAATATAATATGAAATAATCGCATATTAGTTGGAAGTGATGGTGATGTTATATATATATATATATATATATATATATATATATATATATATATATATATATATTTAGTAGATAATACAACTAAAATCTAAGTACAAGTCAATACTGGATTCACAAATTAATTAAAAATAATAAAGAATGGAGTATGTAAAAACTAACATACTATTCAATTATTTACAATGATGTAATTTTCATGTGCCTGCGTGTGTAATATATTGTTTGCACATGCGCAGCTTTTGCAATCCTAAATGCTCATTTTGAATACACATAAAATATCATAAATGTATATATATATATATAGTGTCATCTAAAATATCATAAATGTACTTATATAGTTCAACTTAATATCACAAAAACAACATTATGTCAATGTGAATTTGCATGGAAGTTGCACGGAACACGCTAGGAGTGCATGGCATAAGAAGAGTGCGGTTTAGAATCTTTAATAGTAAAAAAATTATAAAATGTAGGGAGCGGTTGAAGATTCCAAAACATTATAAAGTTTATGAGAATTTTATAGATTGTAGAATATTTTAGGGATTATATAGAGTATATATTTAGGGGAAAAAATTCAAAAAAATAAAATAAAATCTTAATCGTTTATCCAAGGAGTCCATCGAGAAAGATAATAAAGATAATAACTATATATAGGCCATGGTCTCATTTGCAAACTCTAACCGTGAGAATGAATGGGCAAAGCAAACAAGAGTGGGTAAAAGTGTATGATATTATCAATAAATAAAGTCAACTAGAGGGAAGCTACGCCAGTAATATATTGAAGGGTTGCAAATTGGGTCCACCCAATCCTAACCCAATCTCAACTCAAAATTGGGATAAATGGGACCAACCCGAATTCTACGTAAAAGATTATGTTACCGTTAACAAACAAACCGTGTATTTTACAAACAAAAACCAAACCGTGTATATATATATATGTAAGCTTAACTGATTAGTTAATAAAAAAGAACAATAAAAAAATTTGTTCAAGTAACATTAATCTCTCAATTTATTATTAATACATCTTTTACTATTTTTATGGAACTCTAAAATTTAAATTTTAAGACCAAATTACCCTTTTATCTCATTATTTTCTTATAGATCAATATTGCATGAATGGTCTTACAAATATGGACGTTGGAGTCCAGATTCAAATAAAAATTTATAATGATGAAGAATCTCATATCCATTGTGAATTTGAGGTAGAGTAAAAAAATAAACGCAAAGTGAGTAAAAAAAGATAATTACCAAAAATATATATCAATCATATTCAAGTACCATTCAATCATAGAGATATATATTTATATGTATACATGCAGACTCAATCAAGAAAGAAAAGAAGAGTAAACACACACAAGATTAATATGGTAACTGGTGCTGAGGAAGAGTGTGATGGGGTGGTAACAGGTGCCAATGTTGCCATGCATCGCGATGGGACACGGATGAACATTTTCATTCTAACATTTTCATTCTACTTTTTGTTTTTTTTGTTTTTTGGCAGAAGATCCTTGAAACCTAGTGTATCAAAACAACATCTAAGATCATGTACCATCGAATTATGCTATTTAATCTAGATTCATCAATCAGACTAATCACTCAAAATAATCTTTGTTACGGAGTGATGATACAGTGTTCATTATAAATAAAATATAATATGAAATAATCACGACTGAATTGATTATGCATATTAGTTGGAAGTGATGGTGATGTCATATATATATATATATTAGTAGATGATACAATTAAAATCTAAGTACAGGTCAATACTGGATTCACAAATTAATTAAAAATAATAAAAAATGGAGTATGTAAAAAGTACCATACTATTCAATTATTTACAATGGTGAAATTTTCATGTGCCTGCGTGTGTAATATATTGTTTGCACAGGGTATAATTCAACTTAATATCACAAAAACAATGTTATGTCACTGCCAATTTGCATGGAAGTTGCACGGGACCCGCTAGCACTAAGGAGCGCATGGCATAAGAAGAGTCCGGTTTAGAGTCTTTAATGGTAAAAAAAATTATAAAATGTTGGGAGTGGTGGAACATTCTAAAACATTATAAAGCTTGTGAGAATTTTATAGATTGTAGAATATTCTAGTGATTATATAGAGTTTATATGTAGGGGAAAAAAAATTCAAAAAAATAAAATAAAATCTTAAAGGTTCATCCAAGCAGTCCGTCTAGAAAGATAATAACTATATATAGGCCACGGTCTCATTTGCAAACTCTAACCGTGAGAATGAATGGGCAAAGCAAACAAGAGTGCAAGAGGGTAGAAGTGTATTATATTATCAATAAATAAAGTGAATTAGAGTGAAAATACGCCACTAATATATCGTTGGGCTGCAAGTTCGCCTGGCCTATTTCAGTCCAGTTCCAACCCAATCTCAATCCAAAATCGAATTGAGTTTGGCTGGGTTGAATTCTACTCAAAATGAGTTGTGTCCAAAACCCAGTCCGAATATTTTGAATTGGTTGAACAGGTTTTAGGGTCTATTTATTTATTTATTTATTTTTATTTTTACAAATACACCAATCTACTCGGAGCAGGTGCTGTATTGGAGTGAATATTCTTATCATAGACAATTCTGTTTAACTCAGGCATTTGAGTAAAATCAGTTTGAAAAGCCTCAATATGAGGGAACACCTCAGAATCAGAACCTATTTCAGATTCATCATGGGATAAAGTCTGAATTTTAAGTCCTTGAATTTTCTGAATAAGAAGAGTAAGAAATTATTCATTCTTCTTAGGATGTGTCAGATTGAAGCCTTTAACTTCAATTGCAGGTTTGACAAATGCTTTGGATAAGGAAGCTTCTGAAGGAGAAGACTTATCAGTAATACACTTAGTATTAATTGTATTTAATACCGTGTCTATTCCTGTTTCAATTCTCCCAAGCTGGACCCTATCGTTTGCATACAAACATTAGTATAATTGTTCTGTCTGTAAACATGAGAAATGTCCTTTTTAGTAGCATTACAGGACTGATCAATTATTTTAGGTTGGCTATAAGCCTTGGTTTCCACTTTTGCACCACTGTCAGGGTCAAATTTTTTCAAAATGAGATGTTCAGTGGGAGGATGGACAGAGTGATAAACATTATCTTCAGATGTAGTCCATGGTTTGAGAAAATCATCCAATATGTTTATGTTAACAAGAGAATGATTTGTCATAAAAAACCAAGAAACAAAAGGTATAACCATTTTGCGTTCTTGTAAAAAATCATAAAATTGAGTTTTAAAAAGCTGTAATTGATTTTGATCAAAAGCTTTAAAATACCAATTTCTGAATTCTTTATCTCTATCCTGTTGAAACTCAGTATTAATGGCAATTCTATCTGGGACAAAATCCATTAAAACTAATATTCATGAGGGTCATTTATATCTATAGGATCGTCAAATTGATCCTTGACAGATTCATTTCCGATTCCCATTTCTGATGGAGTTGGGCTGAACTCAATTCCAAATTGGCGACGAGACATACCTATTGGTGCTTTCTCGTAGACTCCTCTTGGAATTTGATTTTGAGATTGCTGTATTCCTTTCAGCTTGAGGTGATTTGAACCGACTGCTTCAGGGA